ACCAGGAGCGTAGCCAGGAGTAAGAGCTGGGTTGTACCGGTACAAAGATTTTTTACAGATAATGTTTTACACATAAATTTTTACATTAAAAATATAAGCAATTTTAAAATTTGGGCTGGACCGTGGCCCGGTTGGCCACCCCTCCACCTTCACCCCTGCTCTACACAACGTGGTTCGTGAGCGTAAATGATTAAGAGCTTACTATTACACATGCTCGAATAACTAGTCGTTTAAAATCTATCATTGAAAAGCCAATGCAAGATAAGTTATTTCGCATGAGAAAATTATTTTTTCTCACATAATTTTTGTTACTTGAAGAAGTTCTTAGACAACTTATTCTGCAACATTTTGTCTAAATTAAAACTCCAACTTTGTCATGTTACTTGGAGTATTGAAGAAAATTATCTTTAATGTGTACTCGTTATAAACAAAAAGTGTAAGGATCCTAGAGTTTACATGTATTTATTTAATAGGTCCGTTGATTCATCTCTTGTAAACTCTAAATCCTCCTTTTTGAAGGGGGTTTAGTATGTAATGGAATGAAACACATCTCACTCCCTACAACATCGGTGAAATTTTTTTATGGCTTTTCCTGCGATCGGAGGAGGCCGCCGACAGATGTTGATGGAGGAGGGAATGGGACAAGGGTGGGTAGTTAGATAGGAATTAGAATTACGAGAAAAATGTATGATAATATTAGTTAAACAAAGATTAGTCACATTTAAAAAATCAAAAATCATATTTAATTTTTGTCTTCTACAAAATGGAAGTGATATTTTGCCATTTAATTTAATAAAAAGTTTCTCGCATAACAAATTCAAAAGGAAAAGAAAGAAAGTTAATCATGAAAAGAAAAGGAAAAATTTCAAAAATAATTTGCATAAGGAAACTAGTTTTCCCAAATTTGAGATTTTGTAATTACATAATAGCATACGTCACTTTTTCGCTGATAAGTGATACTCCCTCCGTCCCATAATTATCTTCATTCTTTCCTTTTTGGTCCGTCCCAAATTTATCTCCTCTTTCCCCTTTTAGCAAAGGATTTGTGGTTCACAACCATTCTTACACATTTCTCTCTCATCTGCACAACTCTCCACCACACATTTCCCACTTTCTTAATCTCCGTGCCCAGTCAAAACCGAAGTTAATTCTGGGACGGAGGGAGTAATAATTCAATTCGGAACATTCCATTTCTCTTTCCATAGTTTTTTATTCTTTAATTTTTGAATTGCTTCATATATATGCTGGCACCTTTTGACGGTTTGTGTATCTCTGTTTCTTAAAAAAATCAGATTTTGAGATGCCTACAGTCTTGATTAGGGCATCCTCATCCATTAGATTATTTAAGATTTAATTGGATTATATGTAAGATTATTTCAATGATTATCATTGTGAGTGAGAGATTATTTAGAGAGATTATTGAAAAAGAAAATCTGGTATGAAGATTTGAATTCCGGATTATTTTAGATTGTAATTAAATTGCATTTAATGCATGGTCTAGAAAAATTAATTATTTGAGTATCATGATTGATCAAGATTCTTAAGATTTGAGATTATTTAAAATTTAATGAATAATGTGATGCGAATCATTTCATTTCATTTTCATTTACCCCAGTGCCGCAAAGGCTCCCACCTACGGTGGGATAAGGGGGGTCGGATGTACGCAATCTTACCCATGTACTAAAGCACAGATAGACTGTTTCCGGATGACCCATAGTGAAAATCGCATCCAAAATTGCAAGGACTGATTGCTGCTTCATAATAAAGAAGTGCAGACAGTTTAGTGAGCCATTTTGCTTTATTCCATCATATTTTCAAGCAAAAAAATAATGAATCTTTGGCTCCATGCATTAAAATATGATGCCACAATGATGTGTAATGGAAAAATCATTTATTTTAAGATCATGAATGAAGATGCTCTTATATAATTGTAGAGCATTAAATTATTGGAGTGAAGCATCAATTATAAGCATTTAAAGTATGAAAATATTCGATTACACGTTTCTTGTACATTGTTTGTCTGTGTACACAGACAAATTATTTAAAAAGAAGGTAAAAAACATTTATAAATACAGACAAGTAATTAAGAGTTTAAAAAAGTGAACACCAAATATCCTGTCAAGTATTAGCTGATAGGAATATTTGTGTGTGTGTGACAATTAATTTTTCCTTCAAAAAATAAGTAAACCTCATACAAGCCCCAACATTAGGAGTGTGGCTTAGATCTAATGTGTGTGTCATATTTAAATATGACAATTTAGAGTCATTAGATCTTATATTCGATGCACCAGATTTATTCATTCTTTTCATTTGAAGGAGCCTTTTCATTTGATCCAAAATCCATATATATACTCGCAAAAATAACTTTTTCATTGCATGCATGAGATATGCACTTACACATAGCCTATTTGGTAATACCAAAATCATCTGAATCGACTGATTATGCTGGAACTAATGATGTTTTGGTTGCAGTGACTGGATTGGCTGATTCGTTGATGCTTGTAAAAATTATATTTAAAATATATTTTACTAATGAAAAAAGAAAAACTTATAGGAAAAATAGCCCGCTACAGTAACTTCAGCAACTACAGTCAGAAAAGTAACTTCAACCTTAGCTTTTTATTATTACACAATTCAATGCGCGAAATCAAAAGTTACGTGTTTTGTGAAAAAGTCGATTGATAAGCCCGATAAACCGAAAAACATGGTTAGGAATCACAGTGTTTTGTTACTTTTCCCCTTTCCAAAAAAAGTATATGTAAAGAAATTGGAAAAATAAGGGGGTGTTTGGATCTGATTCTTAAAACAGCTTCTGCTCCTTGAGGGAGCAGGAGCAGAAGCTGGAGTGTGTGGGTGAAAATGCAGAAGTGATTCTGGTGCTCCTTTTTACTCCTAGAATCAGTTTTTTTAGAAGCTGGGAGTGACCAGCTTCTGAAAACTGATTTTGATTCTACTTCTGCTTTAAAAAAGAAGCAGAAGCAGAATCAGTTCCAAACACCCCTTAAAACGAAAAGAAAAACTGAGCAACTAAAAAGTAAGGGCAAACTGTCAACATATCCTCAACCAGTAAATGATAGATTTGATAGATGTTCATGATATTAAACAAAGAAATAATTACATATTTATGATTAATTTAAAAGATTTTAATGTTTTAAAAATATTACTGAAATGAGACTTATTTACAAAATATAACTAAATAACTAATAGTTACTAAAGTAAAGACTTCCTCAGGGACACAATGGGAATTGAAGTCTCGTCCGGCCAAGCCCATTTAAGGTGCTTTCGTGTGAATTTTTTGATGAAATTTGTGACTATGTTCCGTCTGGCGAAGCCAAAGACAAAATGATCACCCCTTATACAAAAACTACTAATGATGTCTACATAGTTTTGTTGATGCTGGTATGTATCTGATTTCTCTAACCCTCACAAAGGCGGTTTTGAAATTGGTCATGTTTCCACTATTGGAAACACGACAATATCTTGGAAATCAACTAAACAAACCTTTGTACATGGCTACCTACTCAAATCACTCCGAGATTATCGCTCTACACGACGCGGTTCATGAGTGTCCATGATTAAGAGCCTACTATCACACATATTCGAGAAACTAGTGGTTTAAAATCTACCATTAAAAAACCAATGTGGGAAAGGTTATTTCTTGTGGAAATTATTTTTCCCACGTAATTTTTGTTATGTGCAAAAATTAAAACAAGACACATATTGTGTAACGTTCTTTCTAAATTAAAACTCCAGCTTTGTTACTTGGAGTATTGAAGACAATTACCTTTAATTATATTTAATGTGTATTCGTTGTAAATAGAAAGCAAAAGGATTCTACAGTTTACATGTATTTAGTTAATAGGTCTGTCGATCCATCTCTTGTAAAACTTTAATTTCTCGTGATGGATTATGGGGTATTCAAACATATAGTTAATAGAGAGATTGAACAATAGAGAAAGAGAAGTGTAGTGTATGAATTATGAATTGCTCATGAGTTAGGATTTACTAATAGAATATATCTAGGAATATTCGTTTCCTAGAATCTTGGCATTTGTTTCCTATTGTACTTGGTACTCTCTTATTATTTATACAAATGCCAAGATTCCTATTAGAGTATCTTTTCCCACTATTTCACATGGTATCAAGAGCTGACATATTCTCTCTCTCTCTCTCTCTCTCTCTCTCTCTCTCTCTCTCTCTCTCTCTCTCTCTCTCTCTCTCTCTCTCTCGGAATCTCAGAGAACACCAGCTTTAAGCCACCAAATTGATTCTCAAATCCCTCCCAATCCACCGATCCCTTCCGCCGGAATTCCAATTAATTGCAAAAATACCAGGTTGTACGGTGAGGACCGTACAACCGGGTGTACGGTTCATTATAATATGATGACTGAAAAGACAAAGTCGTTATGAACTGACGGTATATAATGGGAACATCACAAAATTTAACGGAGGCAAGCAACTTAACAAAAGCGAATGTTAGAAATACAGATGAGGTAAGAGTCAGATCGGTACTCGAAGTTGCATAAAAAGGGTCAAATAAGTCCTTACTGTCCGGCCGTCGCCATTTGAGGCGGTTCCCGGTGGAATTTTTGATGACATTTTTTGAGTATCTTATTCATTAAGTCTAGTTTACCCATACCAAATTTCAGCTAAAACTTCAACTGGGAACACATTCAAATAAATTCTTGAAGATAACTGTGCAGTTATCTTCAAGAATTTATTTGAATGCCTTCCCGGTTAAATGTTTAGCTGAAATTTGGTATGAGTAAACTAGACTTAATGAACAAGATGCTCAAAAAATTTGGGCAAAAAATTCCACCAGGAACCGTCCCAAATGACGATGTCCGGACAGAACCTCCTATATAACTTGAAGTACCAATCTGACCTTTATCACAGTCGACAAATACTTAGGCTGCTTGTTAACAATCTGACAGAACCTCCTATTTTTCTAGGGCATTTTAACGAATCGTCCCAATGACTTAGGCTAGGTTTAGAAATAAGGGTAAAGTATAACAAAGGATTTATTTAATATGCTTGTGTGGTTGCCGTGAGTGTAAATAGAATTTCTCTTTGAAAGGGGGTTTCAGTCTGCTCAATGCATTGCAGCAAACATCCAAATCATTCTCAATCTCACCGGTATGGCGATTAGGGTTTTTAGATCCCTTCTCGGCTCAAGATCCAATTTATCTGACCCTGATCTTCTTCGACACTTCTCTGCAAAACCAAGAGGCCCAAATGTGAAATCTCAAATCCAATTTCCCCTAGACTTCACGCAAAAATATCTCCAAAGGAATATAATTTCAGTTTCTAATCTACTGAAAAGGTACGGCTTTCCACTGTCTGAACTTCATGATTTCCTGTCAAAGAATCGATCTTTGCTGAACTCTGACCCCTCCAGAATCGAAAAATCTATTAAAATTTTGTTTTCTCTGGGGCGCTCTCAAGAGTTCCTTACTTCTGTAATTTCTAGCTGCCCTAAGGTGCTGGAGTACGAATATATGAAGAAATGGGAAACGGAAATTTCTGGAATTGAGGGTTTTAATCTTTCTGCATTGGCTATTAAGAATGTTCTCGAAGTGTGTTTGAAGTTTGAATTAGAACCAGATGATGTTTTGGCTTGTTTGAAGTCTTTGCAGGCTTTAGGGTTGAGTGAGGGTACCATGGTTAGGGTTTTCGAAGAATTCCCTACAGTAGTATTGTCTAGTCCGGATAGAATTCAGTGTAAAACTGAATTCTTGATGACTAGCATTGGCTTAGTAAAGACTGAGTTAGGTCGTATTCTAGGGTCATACCCAGGTGTATTAGCATTTGGGGTTGAGAATAGGCTTAAACCGTTGCTTAACGAATTTAAAAGCCTTGATTTTGGTTTAGATGTAGTACGGTTGGAGGTTCTGAGAGATTCAAGAATCCTTGGTTTGGAAGTTGGTGAACTTTCTCATTGCTTGAAACTGCTAAGAAGTTTAAAGTGTAGGGAGTCCATTAAAGAGGATATTTTCCGAGACGGAGCATTCAGGGCTGGATACCAAGTGAAGCTGAGAGTTGATTGCCTGCACAAATACGGTTTAACACACAGAGATGCATACAGTGTGATATGGAAAGAGCCAAGAACAGTTTTATATGATGTAGAGGAAATTGAGAGGAAAATACATTTCTTAGTGCAGACAATGAAATTTGATGTCGAGAGCATAGCTGACGTTCCAGAATATTTGGGGGTGAATTTTGAGAAACAGATTGCTCCTAGGTTTCAGGTTATTGAGCATTTGAGATCAATAGGTGGGCTTGGTGATGAGGTGGGGCTGAAGGCCTTGATTAGACCTAGTAGATTGAAGTTTTACAATCTCTATGTCAAGCCTTATCCAGAGTGTGAAAGTATATATGGGAGAGTTGCTAGAGACGTTAGAGGCAAGCTGGGACACCCTTCTGGGTTATGGAAGCTTTTCAAACCGCTGCCATATCAGCAATCTGAAGAAGATGATATGAACATTAAATCTTATATGGAGTCACTAGAAACAGTAGCATGAGCTCTTTCCTCAAATAGAAAATACTAGGGGTGTTCGTTGGTTCGGCATGATTATAAGATTAATGAAAGCATACTTGCGGAGGACTTGAGGAGTGGCTTTTGCTCTGAATATGAAAAATCGTCAAACGTAGCATTTCATTATGCACGTAGGAGGCACACAAGATCAAAGAATCACTTTAAGGAACATCTACATCGTATATCCTCAAATCATCTGAAACTTTTGCTCTCAAACCTATCAGATGTTAAATGAACGTTTATTTATGTTACATGTTATTGATTAAATACTTCTGCTTAATTACTTTGGGCTGATGTAGTTGGTAAAAACAACACTTGGACTGTTTTTTCTTGATAAGCAGTTTGGCATCAAGGTCGGGTTTCCTGTCCAGTGGTTGAGCTTACAACAGTTGTCCTGTAGTAAAAAATCACTGCAGTGTAGCATGCATGATTTGAAATGGCAGCTGAATGTGTAAATTTTTTGAAAAGGAAAAAGCGGTTGGTACTTGGTAAGGCCCTTCGGTATCGTTTTGCTTTTTGGTGTGGATTCATTTTGGCCTTTGTCTTTCCTCAAAACAAATAATCACTTTCGTATGTAAACAAATACTAGTATAATTTTCTAAGAGATAAGACCATGTAGCACAAGTACTTGACTAGGGTATTGTTTCGGCGTATCGGAAATGTTCCCGTATCAGATATTAACAATTTCCCACTTTTTTTGATAGTTATTTTTAGAAATTCTAGTACATGCATCAACTTTTTTTTTATATAACAAAACGCCTAAAAAATAAATCATAAAAATCTTAACAACTTTGATTAGAGTATTGTTTTCTATCTTCATTGAGCATCTTTTTTAAATACACCCCCATAATTTAATATTTATAAATATACTCCCATAACTTTTAATATTTATAAATATACTCTCGTATCAGTATTTTTTCTTTTTTCCGTATCCCTGTACCTATTCTACGTTTTCGCATTTTTGCGTTCCTCTATTGGTGCTACATAGAATAAGACGAAAACATATTCATGTTCAAAAAAGTGGATTACATATTTTTATTTTACTTAAATAGGCGGGGGTAGTCATGGACCCGGCCCGGGACCGGACCGGCCCGCTACTGTGTGGGCCCAGAACTGGCCTGGTTCTCGGGTCCGGGTCCGGTTCGGGCACCGAACCGGTGGGGGTGGCGGGTCCGGGCTCGGGGCTATGTTTTGGCGACCCAGCCCGGCCGGGTCGGGCCCGGGTCCGGGCCTAACGGTCACAATTTATTTTTTTTTTCTTTTCTTTTTAAAACACCCTTTTGGGCTGTTGACCCACTTCCCAAACGACTATATAGCCGTTGGGTGGGTACCGGGGGCGCCAGGGCTTTTGGGGGGTGGGGGTTAAAAAAAACCTATAAATATTCCTAATTTTAAACATTTTTTCACACCTCTTCTCCAACTCTTCCTAAATCCTACATTCCTACTCTCTCTCTCTACTCATCTCCATATTCATCTTCTCAAATTCTCTTATTCTCCATTATATTTTATTTTACTATTTAATACTTATACAATTATTATATCTACTTATATACGAAGTATTAATTATCTACTTATAAATACATATACTATATTACTTATATTTCTTATCTACTTAATCTCTACTTATTATCTACTTATATCTACTTAATACATACATACATACTACATCTACTTAATATATACTTTATATATTAAAGTATTAAATATACTTTATAAACTATTAGTATATACTTAATACGATAGTACATAATAATATCTACTTCTCTACTTATATTTCATATATACTTATTTTCTTATTCTCCAATCTCCAATTCTCCATTATACTCTAATATTTAATTCTTATACGATTATTATATCTACTTATATATTAATTATCTACTTATATCCACTTAATACATACATTCTACATCTACTTAATATATAGTTTATATATTAAAGTATAAATTATAAGTGTATTACTCATCTTATAGTAGTATACTTATATATTATATACTATAAACATTATATTATATATTAGTTACACTTTAATTAATATCACTTAAAATCATTCTATTACTCATTTACTCCCATTAATTAGTATACACATTCATACATTTGTCTTATTACTTACATTTTTGTATTAACATTACTTGATTAGTTAATTAGTATTCTCACTAATTGTTACATTTTTCATTATACTAGTTAATTAGTAAATTAGTATTCTTGTTACGTTTTTCATTATACTAGTTAATTAGTTAATTAGTATTCTTGTTACATTTTTCATTATACTAGTTAGTTAGTATTCTTGTTACATTTTTCATTATACTAGTTAATTAGTATTCTTGTTACATTTTTCATTATACTAGTTAATTAGTTAATTAGTATTCCCATTAATTACTAAAACAACTCTACTTCAAAAAACTAGTTAATTGTCATTATACTTTAAGTCACATTCGTACATTTGTCTTATTACTTACATTTTTTATTAACAATACTTGAATACTTGATTAGTTAATTAGTATTCCCACTAATTGTTACATTTTTCATTATACTAGTTAATTAGTATTCTTGTTACATTTTTCATTATACTACTTAATTAGTATTCCCATTAATTGCTAAAACAACTCTACTTCAAAAAACTAGTTAATTGTCACTATAGTTAAAGTCACATTATAATAATTTCAATTTATATTTGAACGAAAAAAATAGTACGAAGTAGTTCAATCGTTTAATTAAAGTACTTAACATTTTATTTAAGGAGTTCAATCATTTAATTAAAGTACTTGAAAAGTTGCTATAATTTAATTCGGGTTCGAATTTTAATTTGTATTTTATAGTCACACTTTAATTCTCTACTTAATTAAAGTACTTCACATTTTATTAAAGTAGTTTGCACTACATTAGTTTGAAGTATTAATTAAAATAGTTTTCATTAGTTGCATTACTTTTGTATTCATTATTATATTTGTTGCAAATTAATATTTGTTACATTTTTAAGAAGGAAGGTGGTAGATATTCGGTTGATTTGGGTAACCTCGAGCGCAATCGAAGGAACGAGATTGGGAGGAAGAAATCCCGCAAAGGTAAAGAACTTGCCGGCTCTTCATCTCAAAGCCGAGATGATTTTGAAACGGGTTACCAAAGGAGAGATGGAGATGCGATGTCCGAAGAACAACTACAGCAAGAATTGGCCCGACATAATAACCGCTTTCTACAACAACAAAAAATCCTGAGGACCATTGACGAAGAGAAGCTTGAGGATGAAGATGCGGAGGAAATGGAACCGGAGACGGCCGAGGAGGAGGGTGCCGGCAGCCACGACGCCGACGAGCCTGCCTCATCCCAAACCACCACCGGTAATAAAAAAAGTAAATCTGAACTAATGAAAAATAATTTTGATAAGTGGAAGGACCCACAAACCGGGTATTGGCACGCAACTTGCAAGTGGTGCAACAACAATTATAGCTTGGGGACCTCCGGCGGATACGGATCCGCTGCAAGGCATCTTAAGGCAAAGCACCCCGTGGAGTATGCAAAATTAGGCGGCGGAATGGGGAAGCAAACTCAAATATCGAGGTTTGCGAATTCTCAACCTTTTGGTAATTTCTCATACAATGATGCACAAAATTTGAATGGTATGGCTAACTTAATTTGTGAAGAAAATTTGCTTTATATGTTTTCTGAAAGTCTTGCTTTAAAAGATTATGCACAAGGTAGTTTAAATCCGCAATATAGAGGTTGTAGTCGCAAAACTGGTAAAAAAGAAATTGTAAGGCTTTATAAAGCGGAAAAGGCAAGGTTACAAACTTTTTTTGCAAACTTTGATGGACGTGTTACTATTTTTTCTGACATATGGGAGGATGATTTTCATCATTTATATTATTTGGGTCTGACTGCACATTATATTGATGAGGATTGGAATATGCATAAAAGTGTTCTTGATTTTCGTGAATTTAATGATCATTACACCGCTGAACATATCTATATTTTGATTGAGCGTATTTTAATTGAGTATAATTTGATTGATAAGGTGTTTGCTATCGGTTTCGATAATGCTACTAATAATATTGCTGCTATACCTAGATTGTGTGAATTGTGTGGTGCCAATACTTTGATGGGTAGATTTTTTCATCAACGTTGTGCATGCCATGTTATAAATTTATGTGTGCAAGACGGTCTAAAAGCGTCAGGAGATGCTATGGAGGTAGTCAAGGGGGGGATAAGACGTATTTGGGGTAATGGTCAGCTTAAATTAAAATGACAAACTTATTTGACTGAAAGAGGCGTGAGATATGTTGCTTTTCCTAAAGATTTGAGTATTCGTTGGAATAGTACTCATAAATTACTTAAAGTTCTTAGATATAAAGAACATTTTCATGCTTTTTTAAAACAGCATGATTACATGATAACTATATTATAAACTCGGCTGAGATCGACACTTGCGAAAAAATTTGTAATGTTTTGATATATTTTTTAATGCAACTGAAACTTTTAGTCATGTTTAAAAACCTACCGCAAACCAATTTATTCGTGAAGCTGTTAATCTCGCCGGTGCTTTTAAAGAATTTGAGAATACCGTTTTCGTGAGTTATTTTTGTGATTATATGAAGGAATTTTTTTAAAAATATTATGCACATATTCCGCATATTTATGGTATTGCATTTATTCTCGATCCTCGTTTTAGACTAGCTAATTTGAAAGATTGTTTCAAATTCTATTCTCTTGCTTTTTTTGGTGAATTTCCAATGTATGATGATAACCCCATAGATCCGAAAACGGAATACAACGAGGTTAGTGCTTTATTTTATGCCTTATTTAATGAGTTTCATGCACAATATAGCAACACTCCCCCTCCCCCGACACGAACAATCTTCATCTAAAGGAAAAATCGATTTTTAAATCTGCATTTGGCAATCTTATGAAAAAAACTAAAACAACTCATGTTACTGAACAAAGCGCATTGAATGAGATTACTTTGTATTTAACATATGAAGTTGATTTTGAGGAAGTTGATATTGAAGAAAATGATGACTTTGACGTTCTAAACTGGTGGAAGTCAAAAGAAAGAATGTTCCCAATTTTAGCACGGATGGATAAGCAAGTACTATCAATACCGGTTTCAATAGTTGTTGTGGAACAAGAATTTAGTTCGACCGGCAACGTCCTAACGGCATCTAGATCGAGATTGAGCTCGGAGTCTCTTGAGACGCTTATATGCCACCACGATTGGTTGAAGACCGCACGTAGAACTCAAGAAATGAGCATCACCCCCTCACAAGAATTTATGGATGACTCAACAATCGATGGTGGCTCTACCTATACCGGAGATTCCGATTGATTAGTATTTTAGAAATTATTATAAAATGTATTTTGTAGCACTTCTAAAATCAATTTGTACTTGTACTTCAAATTCCAAAATTGTAAACTTGTACTTCATTCTTCATATTTCAAAGTTGTAAATTTGTACTTGTACTTTAAATTAATTTGTAAACTTGTACTTCATATTTCAAATAAATATGCGTTCATTTTTTCATATGGAGTACTTCTCAAATTAATTAATTGGTTACAAACTTACAACTTAAAATTATTTTTCTAAAATCTAAAGGTTGTTTTTAAATTAAAAATACATTTACAATATGTAATTTGTTTAAATACTTATACACCTATTTTGTAACATTTGTAAATTATAAATCAAACCACTTTTCTAAGTAAAAATAGCTTTACTTAATTCATTAAATTAATTAACTTATTTTACAATATGTATAATTTTCAAAAAAAAATATTTTAAAAAAAAATTAAAAAAAGTGTTCAAAACAAGTGTATTCCAGCACTTGTTGCCACAAATCTGTTGCCGGGCCGCTTCACCGGAGTGGTGCTGCCAATGCCGATCGTCGTAAATTTTCTGCCACTCATCAGCGCAAATCTATTACTATACCACCACCGCACATTGCCAGAAATTTCTAGCGCTCACTGCTGCTGATCGCCGGTACCACCGGGCACCGGATTGCCGTAGGTTATCTGAAAATTTCCTATACTCGCTAGCGCAGATCTGTTGCCAAACCATCACCCCCGCCTAGTGATGAACCGGGCCGGGCCTAGGCCCGTTCGGGCCTCGGGTCAGGTAGAGATAGGCCCGGGACCGGCCCGGGCTATGGCCGGTGCCGGTTCGGGCCGGGCCACCGGCCCGGCGGGTGGCCCGACCCGTGACCCGGGCGGGTGGCCCGGCCCGAACCGGCACCGGCCATAGCCCGGACCGGTCCCGGGCCTACCTCTACCTGACCCGAGGCCCGACCCGGGTCATCACTAGGCGGGGGTGATGGGCTGGTAACAAATCTGCGCCAGCGAGCATAGGAAATTTTCAGATAACCTGCGGCAATCCGGTGCCCGGTGGTACCGGCGATCAGCAGCAATGAGCGCTAGAAATTTCTGGCAATGTGCGGTGGTGGTATAGTAATAGCTTTGCGCTGATGAGTGGCAGAAAATTTACGACGATCAGCAGTGGCAGCACCACTCCGGTGAAGCGGCCCGGTAATAGATTTGTGGCAACAAGTGCTGAATTTTTTTTGACAACTGGCGGCGGCCAATGGTCTGGCAGACGGCGGTCTTATGAATACTAGAAGGCATTGATAACAAATTTATGGAAATGATGTTTTGTGGATTTGAGAATACTGTTTTCATTTTATAAAAACACTTATTTGGATTATGGTTTTGGAAATAGAAACATTTTTTTACCAAATGGTTTTGGTTTCTTTTTAAGAAAAATTAGAACCGAAAAATAGAAGTTATATAGAAGTAACAGAACATAACCTAAGCGGGTCGCCGGGTTCCGGGTCGACCCACCCGGTCCGGTTGGGGTCTTATAACACAAGATCCACCCACTTCTAGCATATTAATATTTTCTAGAATCAATTTTCGATTGTTACATTTGTTTTTATACTATAGTTGTCGAGTATCATTTTAAAATCTGTTACCATGGGGGAACTTTTTTCTGCCCTACAAGGCAAACATGAGTGTCAGTCAG